ACTTTGGGAGGCTTAGGCGGGAGGATTACTTGAGGCCAGGAGTTTGAGACCAACCTGGGCAAGTTGGTGAAACCCTGTCTCTATCAAAAATACAAAAATTAGCCAGACGTGGTGGCATGCGCCTGTAGTCCCAGCTACTTGGGAGGCTGAGGCAGGAGAATCACTTGAACCTGGGAGGTGGAGGTTGCAGTGAGCCGAGATCATGCCATTGCACTCCAGCCTGGGCAAGAGTGAGATTCTGTCTCAAAAATAAAAATAAAAATAAGAAGAAGAAAGAAAGAAAAAAGGAAATAGCTGTCCACAGAATACCAAGTCAAGTCAAACTCATGGCCTGTCCCCATCTCTCCCCAGGATTGGTGCTCCTGTCTGGACCCCTCACTACCGCTCTTCTCCCCATTTCCTCAGTCCCTTCTCCAGGTGGTAGTCCTGATCATCTTTTCAAATTGTTTTTATTTATTTATTTATTTATTTATTTTTGAGACGGAGTTTCGCTCTCGTTACCCAGGCTGGAGTACAATGGCGCGATCTCGGCTCACCGAAGCCTCCGCCTCCTGGGTTCGGGCAATTCTCCTGCTTCAGCCTCCTGAGTAGCTGGGATTACAGGCACGCACCACCATGCTCAGCTAATGTTTTGTATTTTTAGTAGAGACGGGGTTTCACTATGTTGACCAGGATGGTCTCGATCTCTTGACCTCGTGATCCACCTGCCTCGGCCTCCCAAAGTGCTGGGATTACAGGCGTGAGCCACCGCGCCCGGCCTATTTTTTTAAATAAAGATGAGGTTTCACCATGATGGCCAGGCTGGTCTTGAACTCCTGACCTCAGGTGATAACCCACGTCAGCCTCCCAAAGTGCTAGGATTACAGGCGTGAGCCAACGCGCCTGACCCATCTTTTCATATTGTTAATCTGACCATGTTGCCCATCTGCTGAAACCTTTCCAGTGCTTTCCCAGTGCTCTTGTAATAAACTCTTCCTTAGTATGGCACATGGGTCCTCCATGGTCTAGTGCTTCCCACCGCGGACACCATGCTGTCTCTCAGTTTCTAGGTTCCAGCTACACTGCCTATGCTCATCACAGGGCCTTTGCATGTGCTGTTTCCTTTGCCTGGAATCTCACACCTCTTTTTAAAAATTTTTTTGAGACAGAGTCTCACTTTGTCACCCAGGCTGGAGTGCAATGGCACGATCTCAGCTCATGCAACCTCTGCCTTGCAGGTTCAAGTGATTCTTGTGCTTCAGCCCCCCCAAGTAGCTGGAATTATAGATGTGCACCACCACGCCTGCCTAATTTTTGTATTTTTAGTAGAGATGGGGTTACATCATGTTAACTAGGCTGGTCTTGAACTCCTGACCTCCTGTGATCTGCCCACCTTGGCCTCCCAAAGTGTTGGGATTATAGGTGTGAGCCACTGCGCCCGGCCTATTCATTGTTTTTTTTTAAATTTTGGTTTGGCATGCTGGCTTACACCTGTAATTCCAACACTTTGGGAGGCTAAGGCAGGAGCTTTTCTGGGTTTTTCTGCCGTTTGAGACAGTCTCACTGTGTTGCCCAGGCTGGAGTGCAGTGGCACAATCACGGCTCACTGCAGCCTTAACCTGGGCTCAAATAATCCTCCCACTCAGCCTCTTGAGTACCTGGTACTACAAGTGTGCACCCCATGCCTGACTGTTTTTTCAGTATTTTTTGTAGAGACGGGATTTCACTATGCTGCTCAGCTGGTCTCAGGCTCGTGGACTCAAGCAGTCCTCCCTCTTCGGCCCCCCAAAGTGCCAGCATTGTAGGATTAAGCCACTGTTTGTCATAATTGTAATTTTGTACATTTGTTTGTAATATTATTTAATTAATTATTAATAAAGCTCCATGAGGTAAGAACCATGTCAATTTTTGCTCATCTGAAAATCTCCAGCACCTCTGGCCTAGCACATAATAGATGCTCAATAGATGTTTGTTGTTTTCGTTTTTTGGTTTTGAGACAGGATTTCACTCTGTCACCCAGTGTGGAGTGCAATGGTGTGATCTCGGCTCACTGCAACCTCAGCCTCCCGGGCTCAAGCGATCCTCCCACCTCAGCCTCCCAAGTAGCAGGGACTACAGGCATGCACCACCACGCCAGACTAATTTCTGCATATATATTTTTGTTGTTGTTGAGGTGGGCTTTCACCATGTTGCCTAGGCTGGTCTCAAACTCCTGAGCTCAGGCAATCCACTCGTCTCAGCCTCCCAAAGTGCTGGAATTACAGGCATGAGCTACTGTGCCCAGCAAGATGCTCAATGAATGTTTTTTGAATGAATAAGTACATTTATGTTACACACTCCTCTCCATCTCTATCTTCCAAGCATGAGCCTCTGTCATCTCTTATCTGGACCTCAGCAATCACTTCTTGGTTTGTCTTCCAGTTTATTATCAAGTTTCTATCAGTTTCCCACGCAAAAGCCAGAGTGGTCTAATAAAACAGCCTATCGGGCTGGGTGCAGTGACTCATCCCTGTAATCCCAGCACTTTGGGAGCCCAAGGCAGGTGGATCATCTGAGGTCAGGAGTTCAAGACCAGCCTGACCAATATGGTGAAACCCCATCTCTACTAAAAATACAAAAATTAGCTGGGCGTGGTGGTGTGCGACTATAGTCCCAGCTACTCAGGAGGCTGAGACAGAGGAATTGCTTGAATCTGGGAGGCGGAGGTTACAGTGAGTCAAGATCACACCATCGCACTCCAGCCTGGGCCACAGAGCAAGACTCCGTCTCAAAATCCACCCCCCAAAAAAACTGCCTATCTGATCATGCCACCCTTCCACCCCCTGTTGAATAGTCGTCAGTGGCTTCCCATGGCCCTTGGAATAAAATCCAAGCCTCTGACCACAGCCTTACAAGGCCTTGCATGATCTGGCTCACCTCATGCCAAGCTCCACCTCCTCAACTGACATTTCTTAATTCAACAAATATTGAGTGCCTGTTCCAGCAGGCACTGGGGTGAGCAAAAACAGACTCCTTCAGCTCTGCTTAGTGCCCCAGACACTTGAACTTACATACCTCCTTCTCATACACAGCCTGTGCATGTGGTTTCCCTTGTTCTGGAATCCAGACCTTTCTGTCTCCTCCTTTTCTCTACCTTCCTGACTTTGCCCAGTCAACACCTACTCACCCATCAGATCTGATGGCACACCATTCATTCAGGATGTCTTATCTGACCTGAAGCTAGCTTAGGTCCATCTGTATCTGTTCTTAACTTCTCCCTGTATTTGACTTTACAGCTCTCACCACATTTTCTATTTTTACATTTGTTCGTGTGGTGATTTGGTTTATACCCACCTTCCCCACCAGGAAGCTCCAGGAGTTTCTATGTCTGGTTTTTGCTTACCATTGTTTCCCTCCGGTGCTCAGTCGGGGCTCCACAGATAACTGACTGATTGACTAAATGAATGGGTAAATGATTCCCCCACCAGAGTATTCAGAGAGTTCTTCCCTTCAGGGAAATGTGGGCACCTCTGCCTCACTGAATATCAGCTGGTGGGTGATGGCTGGGGCGGGGGAGGCAGGGAGGGGCGTACATAGGAACTCTCACCAAGGAGAGGGCTGAACAAGTGTGTTAGTTCCTTCTTGCCCCTTCTTGTCCCTAGTGTGCTGTGGCTTAGCCCTGCTCACCTCTCCAAACCCATCTAGCTCCTGGTCCCTTTGATGCTCCAGCAAGGGCAGCTCCTACTCCTTTGTCCTTGGAATTCCCAGCCTCCCACATACTGACCCTCTACCTGCAACTCACCTCCTGCTTCCTTTCACAAGGCTGGCTCCTCCCTATCCTTCTGGTCCAGTTTGAATGCTGCTTTTTTTTTGTTTGTTTGTTTTGATACGGTGTCTTGCACTGTCACCCAGGCTGGAGTGCCACTCAGGAGAGGTTTAAGACCATTGTTTTTGGTCCCAATCACAATCATGATTCACCCCGGGGCTAAGACCCACCTCCGCTGAAGTATGGGGTGCCATCTAGGAGAAAGATGGCTACCTGAATAGAGATTCTTTTTTTTTTTTCTTTTGAGACAGAGTCTCGCTCTGTTGCCAGGCTGGAGTGCAGTGGTTCAATCTTGGCTCACTGCAACCTCCACTTCCCGGGTTCAAGCAATTCTCCTGCCTCAGCCTCCCAAGTAGCTGGGACTACAGGCATGTGCCACCATGCCCAGCTAATTTTTATATTTTTAGTAGAGATGGGGTTTCACCATGTAGGCCGGGATAGTCTCAATCTCTTGACCTTGTGATCCACCCACCTCAGCCTCCCAAAGTGCTGGGATTACAGGCATGAGCCACCGTGCCTGACCAAGAGATTCTGTCTGGAATGAGGAAGGCACAATGGGAATAGATGTTGAGTGGGCAGCCCCCAGTGTCCACGACACTCACCCACTAGACTATAAACTGCACAAGGGCCGGGCGCGGTGGCTCAAGCCTGTAATCCCAGCACTTTGGGAGGCCGAGGCGGGTGGATCACGAGGTCAAGAGATCGAGACCATCCTGGCCAACATGGTGAAACCCCGTCTCTACTAAAAATACAAAAAAAAAAAAATTAGCTGCGCATGGTGGTGCGTGCCTGTAGTCCCAGCTGCTCAGGAGGCTGAGGCAGGAGAATTGCCTGAGCCCAGGAGGCGGAGGTTGCGGTGAGCCGAGATCGCGCCATTGCACTCCAGCCTGGGTAACAAGAGCGAAACTCCGTCTCAAAAAAAATAAATAAATAAATAAATAAATAAATAAATAAATAAACTGCACAAGGACAGAGGTTACATCTTTTCTGACTACTGTATCTCCAGTACATAGCCCACTGCCTGATACAGAGTAGATGCAACAGTATTTGTTGAATGAATGAATAAATGAATTCATGACTAAACTGGAAGACCACAGGGGAGGGGTTCAGGACTAGTACCACCAGGAGGGGAAGATACCCCCAGGCCCAATGCTTCTCCAGTTCTTAGAACTCAGGAGGCCCCCTCTCTCACCTCCACCACCAAGAACTGGCAGGATTGGCAGAATTATTCTCACTTTATTTCTGGAGACATTTAATCAGATGCAGTAACACTGATTCCAGGCGAGGGCAGGGGGCATGGGTACCCCTGAAGCAACCAGTATCCTGTGGCCCAAGGTGTCTCCCATCCCCAGACCTGGGATCCCCCTCAGTTACAGTTAAATAGAGAGAGGAAGATCTCCCCAGGGGGCTTTGGGGGGAGGGTCTGCCTCCTGCACCCACCCTCTCCACGCAGAGGAGTCTGAGCACAAGCTATTTACAGTATTCACATCCACTGTACCCCACCAAACCAAGGCAAATACTACAGGTGGCCCCTCCCCAAGGGAAGAGGCCAGAGAGGCTGTGAGTGTATGTGTGTGTATGGGGGAGAGGGGATGTCCGCGCGTGCGAGCACACGAATGCACTGGGGGGAGATCTGGCTCCAGCCAAAGAGACATCAGTCTATAAGGTGCAGATTAAAAACAACAGAGAGGACCCATCCCCAGGGGCCCAGGCCACTTCTATCTTTGTTCTGTCTTTTTCTCCTCCTGACATCCTGGTAGGTGATGCAGAGGAGCCCTCGAAGCTGTGCCCGGATCCAAGGCAACCCGTCTTAAAGGACTTCTGGGGAAAAAAGGGAGAGGAAACAGTCAGGACAAACAGCGCCCAGGCCCAGATAGCTGGGGGTCTTCAGTGTGGAGCAGGAGAGGGCGCCTGGTAGAGCCAGAAGAGAAGGCAGGGCTGAGGAGTGCAGGGAAGGCTGCTGGGAGGAACAGAGCTGAGTCCAGGAATCAGAAGACCCACCTGTGACCTGCGGGGACTGCACCACAGCTTTCTTGAGGAAGGCTTCCGCCTCTGCAAAGGGCAGGAGTGCCTCTGGTGTTCGGCCCAGACTCTTGTCCCCAGAGGGTCCCTTGGGGGAGAAGCCATTCTCCTGGTGTGCTGGGAGGGGCTGCAGGCCATTTACCAGGGACCCTGGCAACTCCTTGCTTGGGAGGCTGTGGATGTAGAGGCCCAGGCTCAGCACCTCACCTCCCAGGAAAGCCCTGGCCACCCGCAGCTCCAGCTGCAGCCTGCCTCCCTGCTCAGGCACGCGGGGATTGGAAACTGGTACCTCCACTGAGGTTCCTGTGGGGCAGGCTCCTCTTTCTGCACAGCCTCCTTCTGCAGTCCTGGGGGCCGAACCTCTACAGCTTTCACAGGCTCTGTCACAGGGAAAGAGGGGCCATCAGCCAAGGGCTGGCAAAAGAGGTGAGGATGGAGGAGGGGAGTGACAAAGGGGAGGGAGGGGAGGAGAACCGGGTCTTTACCTGGGCTGGAACCGTTGGCGTTGGCCTCCTTGCTGTCCTGCTTCTGCTTTGAAGAGGAAAAGTAGTCAGGCTCCAGGGACAGCGACCCCGGCCACTTCGGACAGAGTTCTGTACTCCCTCTGCCCGGGCCGCATCGGCCTCCCCGACAGCCTCGCTTTCATTGGCCATGTATGCCTTTCCACAGCCTCCTTTTCCCACCCTGGTCCCCACACCCAGGACTGCCCTTTGGGGGAATTCTGACCTTGGTTTCAGCAACTTCTGACTTCCGAGTCCTCTTCATGATCTCCTCCAGACGCTGTTTGTGGAGGCCCCACATCAGTTAGGCTCGAGTCCCTCCCCTAATCCTAAACCTCCCACCAGCCAGCCCCAGCCTAGGCCTGGGAGTCTCAGGGTCTCCCAGCTCCTAGCAGCCCTTTCAGGCCGGGAACTGGAATCTGCCCCAGCGCTTTCTCGTCCCACCCGCTCCAAGCCCAGACCCCGCCCACTTGGCCCGCCCCGCCAGGCCCCGCCCACAAATCCCCGCCCACACCCGCACACCTTTCTTCGCTCTTGCCGCTCTTGCTCCTGTTGCTGGAAGTGCTTTTCCCGCTCCAGACGCTGCCTTTCTGCCTCTTCCCGCGATCGAGCTTCGGCCTCCTCTTTCTGCCAAAGACCCCAGTGAGCGTGGAGCACCTGACTCCAGCCTTCCCTCCTGGCCCGCGGCGCCCGCGCCCAGCCGCCTCCCGCCCACCGGAGGCACCTGCTTCTGCAGCCGCTCTTGCTCCTCCTGCTCGGCCTGCGCCTTCTCTCGCGCCTCCTGCTCCTCCCGCCTCCGGGCCTCCGCCTCCCGCTCCGCCCGGGCCTCGGCCTCCCGCGCCAGCTGCTCTTCTCGCATTCGCCTGGGGTACGGAGGACACGGTTCGCGCTCCGCTTCTTCTCCAGCGCCCACGAGGATCCCGCCCCCCTCAGTCCCCAAGCACTCACTTGTCCCTTTCTGCCTGCAGCCTCCGCTCCTGCTCCTCTCGCTCCCGCTGCTCCCGGGCCTGGCGCCGCTTCTCAGCCAGGAGCCGAGTGGCCTCTTCTCGGTCTGTCGTGCCGGCCATCGGTTTGCTAGGGGTCATCGGGGGAGCAGGGGCTGGGGGTGAGGTCAAGACAGCAGCGTCTGGAGGGGGATCCGAGACCAGGCGTCAGCACACCCACGCAGGCACCGCCAGCACCCCTTCCTGGGACGCGCGCAAGCCTTCCTGCTGTCAGCTCCCAGAGGCCTATGTTCTGGGCCTGGGCCTGCTGAGGGCAGGGTCTCCTCTTTCCGGGTCCCACTCCCAGTCCTCAGGCATCTCTGGCGGCCCACACCCCCATGCAGGAGAAGCTGGTTTCTCTTGCTTGGCCCACCCCTCTCTTCATGCCCACCTGCAGGGGTCTCCGCGGGGAGCTGCTCCTTCTGGGGCGGGGCTGGGGTGGGCGAGGGCGCCGGCGAGGGTGCCGGTGAGGCTGGGGCTGCTGGCTCCTTCTCGTCACTGGCTCTGCGCTTGCTCTGACTCTTGTCCTCGGGCCCTGCAGCACTTGGGCTCTCCTTTGCCTCCTCCTTCCTCCGAACCCGTCCCTTGGGGGATGCAGTGATGCCTCGGGGGGACGGTGGCTTTGGAGGCAGAGTGTGGCCTGGCCCTGGGCAGGGGCAGGGGGAGGCAGGCCTGTGCCAGGATGTTGAAGGAGAGGATGGCCGGGCCTTGGATTTGGGGCTGAGAGAAAACGGAAAAGGGAAGGGTTAGGACACACGGACACACACACACACACACACAACTTGCCACTTTCTCTGGGAAGTGTACCCTCCTCCAGGGTAAATCAGCACCGATCCCTCCTCCCCCTTGCTCTCACAGAAACACACCATTCCCTTTTAGAGCATATACCCCAGTTTGTAATGACATATGTCTCTGTGGGATTCTTTGATTATTGTCTGTCCCCAGCCAACAGCCTGTAAGCTTAATAAGAGAAAAAAAAAACAGGCCTGGTATTAGCTCACCAAAGTGTCCTCAGCACACCCTGAGTGCTACCTGGCAGGTCCATTCATCATTCATTCAGCAGAATTTTTTTTTAAGACAGGATCTGGCTGATGCCCAAGCTGGAGCACAGTGGTATGATCATACATAACTCACTGCAGCCTTGACCTCCTGGGCTCAAACAATCCTCCCCTTGGCCTCCCAAAGTGCTGGGATTACAGGCATGAGGCACTGCCCTGGCCCTTCAGTAGGTATTCACTGAGTGCTTACCAGGGTGCCAGGCACACTGTTTTAGGTTCTGGGGTACTTCAGTAACTAAAACACTAAAAAAATAAAAAAAATAGAAAAAAAGAAGAAAGAAAAGAAAACAAAAAAATGGAGGCTGGGTGAGGTGGCTCACACTCACATGTGTAATCCCAGTACTTTGGGAGGTGGAGGCAGGTGGATCGCCTGAGATCAGGAGTTCGAGACCAGCCTGGGTAATGTGGCAAAATCCCCTCTCTACCAAAAATACAAAAAATTAGCCGGGCGTGGTGGCGCGCCTGTAGTCCCAGCTACTTGGAAGGCTGACGTGGGAGGATAGCTTGAGCAGGAAGGTTGAGGCTGTAGAGAAACTAGATTGTGCCACTGCACTTCAGCCTGGGTGACAGAGGGAGACCTTGTCTCAAACAAACAGAGAGAGAGAACTCTGCCCTTAAGGAACTGCATTCTAGAAGTGGGTGCCCAACAAATACTTGCAGGTGATGAAAAAATGACCCAGTGGGGGGCAGGGTCCCTTGCACTGCCCGTGCCCACCTGAGCTCAGAGGCCGCGCCAGCCGAGAGGCGGGCGCGCGGGGAGGCAGGCAGTGACTGGCGCTTCTTGAGGCTGCGCTCCCGCGCTAGGGCACTCTTCTCCTTCTCGTTTTCCCGCTCCTTGTCCTTCTTCTCCTTTTTCTGCACCTGATGGGGAAGGAGGAACGGAAGGGCGGGGAGGAGGAGAGTAGAGGTCAGCAGCGCCTGCGTTTCCCAGTTCCAGGCTGCCTGTCCCTCACCTGCGCGGCCACTCGAGCCAGTCGAGCCACTCACCGGCGAGGCCTCCGGCCGGCGGCGCACGGGAGCAGGGCTACCCCCGGCGCTGGGCTTGCGGCGCTCCCCGCGCTCACCGGCGGGGGCGCAGCGGTGCACGCTTCGGGGGGCGCTGCACGGCGTCAGGGGGCTGGCGGAGGCCGAGCGCGGGCACACCGGCACGGCTGCAGAGGGATGAGTGCGGTCGGGTTGCGGCCCGCGCGCCAGGCTGGCCCCTGCCCGGCCCCACGTGGGGCCTCTCCCAGGGTCGCAGCCCCTACCCTGGTCCCGGCTGTTGCGGGGCAGTGTGACCGCGCTGCGACTCCGAGCAAGGAAGGAGAGGGTGGGCGTCATCAGACGATCCACGATGCTGCTCTCCCATGCGCTCAGCTGCAGGCTGCGATCTAGAGGGAGAACGCCAGGTGAAGCCAGTCACCCTGGGGACCGCAGGAGGCAGGGAGAGGCATGGGGGCAGACCAGGCACCATCCCCATGCCAAGCCCAAGGATTCTCACCCGGGAAGCCTCTCCCCACAATCACGCCGGGGCCATAGTTGTCCTCCCTACGATCTGGACTTCCACTGCAGACCCAGGCAACCAGACACCTCCCAGGGCAACATCCTACATCGGATGAGGTTGCCCCCTACAACTCTCCCCAGGTGAAAGGGCCCTGAACCGCGCATATAGGAAGGAGCCATCCAGGATTGGAGGAAGACCCAACTGCCTCCGCCATGTCCCAGTCTAAGGCCTTGTCCCTCCTGCTCTCAGAGGGCTGACCCAGCAGAGGCTGCCCCATGGATTGGGACAGTGAGGGTCCACTCCTCTGACCCAGCTTTTAGCAGTCCTGTGCCAGGGAGAGGCTGCTAGGGTGCCTGCCTGCCCTAGGCCACCCTGCTCTGTCCCCTCAGCTGCTGGGCTATTTTTAAGCCTCAGTCAGGTGGGGTTGGTACAGCAGCTGATTTAGTTGCTAGGCAACAAAGCAACCAAACAAATGCAAGAGAAACTTATAAATAACTCCTACCATGGCTCCTTCACATATGAGCAGCGGGGCATGGTGGGAATGCAGGGGCTATGCCACCTTGGTTGGCTCAACTCTGGAACCAGCCAAGGCCATGGTTGGGATTCTGAAGGCAGAGAGGGCAGGATTGCATGGGCCCTCTAGGGTGGAGCCAGAATGAGGAAACTCTTCCACCCCACAGCACCAGGCCAGTCTGGCACATGGGGGCAATGCCACCTGCCTAAGGTTGGCCCAGGCCAGTCGGCTGTGGTTGCAGAAAAGGCTGCCTGCCTGTCCCCACCCCCAGCCACCACCTCCAACTTGCTCTTGAGGCCCCTGCCAGGCTTCCTGCCCTCTGGGCCATTGTGCTTTGTCTCTGTTCTCCTCTCCTGCAGGGCAAACTCTGTTCTCAAGGTCCAGACCCATATGCCGGCTCCCCCGAGGGGCACAGAGCCCTGGGTAGGGTAGAGTGGGGATGGGGACCTGGAGTATGTGAGGGCTCCAGGGACCTGGTGTTCTTGCTGAGCTCTGGAGGAGGCTTTGTGGGAGCTACAAGGGGCTCTGGAGGAGAAAGGGCTGGGCCTTCTCTTACTTCTACTGGGGGAGTTCCAGAGCGTGGCAGAGGACTTTGAGAGCCGCTTGTTGATTATAGAGTCCACGTGTTTGGGCAGGTTAACTGCCGACACGGAGCACCTGCTCCCACCTGGAGGGAAAAGACACGGCATTAGGGCCGGGCCGGGCAGGAGCCAGTGGGGGGCACCAAGGCCTTCCATGCAGGATGCTCCGAGGGTAGGGTGGGAGAGGGAGGAGTGGGCAGGCTAGAATGAGGAGAGGAGGCAGCCTTGGCCCTGGGAGAGGGAGGATGAGGGGTAGGTGACCAGAGACAACCTGGGTTGGGGGAGCCGACGGAGAAGGAACAAAGGGAGGAGATGAGTAAAACTAGAGTAGCTACAGCTTTCCTGGCGGGACCAAGGAAGCCATTCCTTACAGCTAGGTACTGCAACCCCTCCCCATAACCACCCAACATTAGCACTTGCTGACACTGTCCAGCCAAGGCGTTATGGATACAACACCCAGGTACTGGGACAAATGCGAAGACATTCCTAAATGGGACCTACATGGGTCACAGTCACTTGCACAAGTCCACTTATTCATCCAGAGTCACAAAAAGACATGCAGACACAGGCAGAGAGTGGCAGATACTTGGGCATGCACACATGTGCAGACATGCACAGGGACAGAGACACAAACACAGATAGTGTGCCAGACCCAGATGCACATAAGCCACAAACACATCGAAGCCACCTAATCATGACATTTGTAACAGCTCACGTTTGTTGATGCTTACCACGTGCCAGGTACTGTGTGGGGCACCACACACATGTGACCTCATTTGATCCTTCAAACATCTATCTACCACCTCAGGGGCAAGTAGTATCATTATCCCCAGTTTACAGATGAAGAAAGGGACACTTCGAGAAGTTAAAGGTCACGCCGCAAGTGCCAGAGCTGGAACCCAAGTCTGTCTGACTTAGGAGCCTTCACTGAGGTACACAAGGCCACAGACACACCAAGGCAAACACATATTAAGACACAATGCACAGATCCATGAGCACATACACCGAATATCTACAGCTAGAAATACTGAAACTTGCCATTGCATAAAGACATCCAAACACAGTGGTACATACATGCCAGCAAAGAATCAGACCAAAATCCATGGTGGCCCTACGTGGAGAAAGCTCAGAGACAAAAATCTACCTTCTGAGACAAGGAGTGACAGTTTCTTTAAGATCCAGTGTCTGTAGGGCATTAAAGTCTTTTATGTATCAACAGCTAATAATAATTGACAGGCACAAAGAAGGCTAATCCTAAAATGACAGAGGTTTGAAGGGCAAACCAAATGGAGAGAATTCATCTCTGATTTGATAGTGGAAGTCCGTGGGAAGGGACAGTTTGGTTTACAGACCATTCTAGAAGACACAAGTCACATGAAGCAAAGCACACCTGCTGCAGGGGGCTGCCAGCTCCTTGCAGGGAAGTTGTTCCCTTCCCTCACTTGCCATCCCAGCCTTGCCCACCCATCCCCCAGCCCCAGCAGCCTACTCACTGGTCTTATGTCCTGGAGAGCTGTGGTGCAGGGCCCCTGCCCAGGACCAGCGCTGCTGCCGGATTTCGGCCCATGTCTTCTTCACTGACCGTTGAATGGCTGCTTCATAGCGCTCCTGGGGGAAGGTGGGGAGAAGAGAGAGATGTGGACTCAGAACATCCATGGAATTTGGGATAAAGGCCCTTCTTCCACCTGTGACAATGCCTTCCCCACTGCCTTCCCTCGGAATCTTTTCCTGACTCACTGCAGGTAACCAAGGTTACCAAATTCTTGCTATGATTAAGGACCAAGATCCCTTTTGACGTGTTCCTGGGGAGCTTTTCACTGTTCTTGAGTCATTTCCTGAGTGTATTAGTTGCTTCTCTGAGGATAGGGTGGGACTTCCCCTACCTAGGGCTCCCAGGCAAGGCCACATCTCAGGCACTGAGGGTCCTGTGACCTTGGGGCTATGTGTTCCCTTTAGCCTGAGGCCCCCCAGGTAGCGCCAGGCGACCATTTCCTTAATTTTCTCACCAGTGTTGAAGCCAGGGCTTTACCCATGTGACAGAGCTAGGCACACTCACACAGATGCATGCCCGCATACATACACAGATGCATACCTGCATACACACACAGACGCATACCTGCATACACACACACACAGACACATGCCTGCATACACACACAGAGATGCATGCCTGCATACATACACACACAGACGCATACCTGCATACACACACACACAGACGCATACCTGCATACACACACACACAGATGCATACCTGCATACACACACAGAGACGAATACCTGCATTCATACAGACACATACCTGCATACATACACACACAAACGCATCCCTGCATATAGACACACACACGCATCCCTGCATATAGACACACACATACCTGCATACATACACACAGACACATGGGGCATGTGTACAAACACAGGTACTGACAGTAAGCAGTTACAGGGGCCTGCAACAGCACATTCAGAAGCAAATGTGCCTGCAGTTGCACAGCTGCCCAGATATTCTAATACAGGGACACAACTGTAGATGTGAACACAGACAGGATCACTTAGACACAGATAAGGCAGAGCCGCGAACATGGATGTGCATACACACTGCACCAGTATGCAGATGGTGAGCACGTGTGTGCACGGATCCACGCAGACCCACCCGCACCTTGTTTTTCTCGAGCTTCTGCCGCTGCCGTTCCTCCAGGGCTGCGCGGCGTTGCTCGGCTTTAAGCCGTTGCTCCTCCAGCCGCCGGCGGCGCTCCTGGAGTTGCTTCTCCCGCAGTGCCTTGGCCTTCTCCTCCTTCTCCAGCCACACTGCCTTCTTGGCCGCTGTGGACAAAGGAGCCCAGTGGTGTGTGAAGGGTTCTGCAGCAGGCCTAGGCCAATTACATCTCCTCCAAGTGGCCAGCCCTGCTACCCATGCCCTGGGTGGGTCTTTCTCCCACCTGCTTAGGTGGAGGTTTCAGTCTCAGGCAGCCGCCTCAAACTGAGGGGTTTCCTGAACACAGGACTCCGGAGAGGCCTATTTCTCCCACGTTGGCCTTATGGGCTCTCAGGGCCAAAGGAGAAATGAATGCTTTAGTGTGAGATCCCCATCTGACTTGGGGGGCTTACCAGACTCATGTCCATATACAGTGATTAACGCATGGGGCCAGGCACAGTGGCTCACACCTGTAATCCCAGCACTTTGGGAGGCCGAGGTGGGTGGATCAGGAGGTCAGGAGTTCAAGACCAGCCTGGCCAACATGGTGAAACCCCATCTCTACTAAGAATACAAAAATTAGCCAGGCAAGGTGGCGGGTGCCTGTAATCCCAGCTACTAGAGACGGCTGAGGCAGGAGAATTGCTTAACCCAGGAGGTGGAGACAGCAGTGAGCCTCAATCGCACCACTGCACTCAAGCCTGGGACACAGAGCAAGACTCTGTCTTTAAAAAAAAAAAGCATGGGATTTGGGGTAAAATAAGTCTTCTGGGTCTGAATCTCAGCTACTCTACTAGCTGTGTGGCTTAGGCAAATAATTTCTTTTTTTAATTTTTATTTTTTATTTTTTGAGACGGAGTCTTGCTCTTGTTGCCCAGGCTGGAATGCAATGGTGTGATCTCGGCTCACTGCAACCTCCGCCTCCAGGGTTCAAGCACTTCTCCTGTCTCAGCCTCCCAAGTAGCTGGGTTTACAGACAGGCGCCACCACAGCCAGCTAGCAAATGATTTCATCTCTCTGAGCCTCTGTTTCCTCCTCAAAGTGGGTTGAGGATTAAATGAGATAATGTGTGTCCTCCTCTTAGCACAGTGCATATAATTAAGTGTTGCAGACGTGTTGGTGTTATTAATAGGATGCTGGTGGTGACGATGAAGATGATGATGAGGCTTCCTGCTCACTCACCCAGGTACTTGGCCCGCTCTTCTCGCCGCTCCTTTGCCAGCTTGTGTCTCTCTCCTGCCTTCTTCACCTCTGAGCAGAAGGAACAAGAACAGACAGGTCAAAAGGCTGTCACCAAAGAGGAGTCGGCTTCAAGACCCCTCCCTCTGGGCCTCACCCCATCCTTTCTTCATTTCCTCCAGGGCAAAGGGGACTCTCTCAGTTGGCATGATCCAGGGCCAGGACCATGAGCCAAGGGGTTTACGCCCAGGCCGGGGGTCATTACACACACCTTGCTTGGTGGGAGGGCTGTCAGAGGCTGGCACTGCTGTTGGAGATGGCTGGCTGCTCCTTCGAGGAGGTCTGGCATCTCGTGGGCCTGTGGCTGGTGGGGTGGGTCCTCTGCTTTTTGCTTCAGAGGAAGGGGACTCTTCCTGCGGGGGGGCCTGGCTTAGGCCCGACCTGCCCTGAGGGGCTCTCTGGTTCCAGTGGGAGCTGCTTAGAGCTAGTGGCATTCTTCATGGCAGGAGGGGTGTCTGGGGGAGTGTCAGGGACCAGGGCTGACATCGGTGGTGGTGGTGGGTAAGGGTCACCTTCTGGAGAAGGTCTTGGCTCTGGGGGGGTCCTGGCGACCACAGCTGAAAGAGAGGAGAGAGGAGAGAGGTCAGATTGCTCATCTGTGCCATCAGCTCAATATGTGGCCCTCTCCCTTGTTCAACCGACTTCTTCATTCACGTGTGTTTGATATATTTCTATGTGCCAGGCCTTGTTCTAGATACTCATGATATAATGGTGAGAAAATAGCCATGATCCTTGCCTCTGTGGTGCTTACCCTGTAGCAGGGCAGACAGACAAATAGCTAGGCAACTACAGTAGAAAATAAATACTACGTCTGGGGCAGCACAGCAGAGATGGTTAACCAATACAGGGCGGGCTTGCTGAAGAAGTAACAACCAAGCTGAGATCCGAAGGATAAGCTGGAGTTGGCAAAGCGAGGAGGGGAGGTCCTGGCAGAGAAGAGTGTATGTGAAAGGGCAGAAAGGAGCAGGGTACGTTGGAAAAGCTGAGAACAAGCTTGTAGCACTTATTGGTGCACCAAATGCACTGACTTGTTTCCATGTCTGCCTCCCTCTCCTTTCTGCTTTACCTCTGGGTGACTGTGTCCAACCCAAGGTCTGTTCACAGAGGGTGCCAGTGCTGGGCACATGGGACTGACCAAGAGGAAGGACATTAAGTATGGGCTCAAGTGGGATCCTTTGCTGTGAAGATTCCCATTGGCGACATGCTACGTCCACTTTGTGATCTTTTCTCTCCCAAACCACACCCAAATTTCTGCTTTTAAGACATGACTATTGTAGAAACCCTGTAAAAGACGTGGAAGTGCCAAGTAAGGGAGCCACATGATTTGACAGTCACACATGTGGGGCAATTGAGAGACAGGCCTCAGAGTCAGTCAGATGAGGAACATGGGAAGGGAGGCGTGCTTCCACCAGACAACAATGGACAAGCCAGTCAACCTCTCTTAGCTTCAGGGTTTTTTTTGTTTTGCTTTCTTTCCCCCCAAGTCAGCTTGCTGCCAGGGATTTTTTTTTTTTTTTTGAGATGGAAGTCTCGCTCTGTCACCCAGGCTGTAGTGCAGTGGTGCAATCTCAGCTGACTGCAACCTCTGCCTTCTGAGTTCAAGCGATTCTCCTGCCTCAGCTTCCTGAGTGGCTGGGATTACAGGCACCCGCCACCACGCCCAGCTAATTCTTGTATTCTTAGTAGAGATGGGGTTTCACCATGTTGGCCAGGCTGGTCTCGAACTCCTGATCTCAAGTGATCCACTCGGCTCGGCCTCCCAAAATGCTGGGATTACAGGCATAAGCCACCATGCCCAGCCACGCTTTTCATTCTTACTCAGCGTCTCCACCAAACTAGGTTCTCTCTTCTGGGAACTATGGCCCTCTCAGGATGTGACAAACTCTTCATCCCTTTGAGTGACAATGTATGTGGGGAGGGGACATGCCCAAGGAGTTGCCTTTGGGACTCTGGGCACCTTTTTCAGGGAGGTGAGAGTCCAGTTGTTTGTTTGGGCTTTGAAGCCAGATTATTTAAAAGTGAATTCTGGCTTCTCCACTAACTAACTGTGACTTTGGGTCAGTTACAGACTCTTTCTGTGCAGAGCTCCTCTTCTATAAAATGCAGAAATTGGGCCAGGCGTGGTAGCTCATGCCTGTAATCTTGGCATTTTGGGAGGCTGAGGTGGGAGGATGGCTTGAGGCCAGCAGTTAAAGAGCAGCCTGGTCAACACAGCAAGACCCGTCTCTATTAAAAAATTAAATAAATAAGATGCAGGTATTACCTACCTCACAGTATTGTGATGAGTGTTTGTTATAACAGCCATTGACATTTACATATTTAGTGAGAGCCTCCTATGTGCCAATAATTTTTATACATATTAGTTTTTGTTTTGTTTTGTTTTTTGAGACAGAGTCTAGCTCTGACACCAGGCTGGAGTTCAGTCGCGCAATCTTGGCTCACTGCAACCTCCACCTCCTGGGTTCAAGCAATTCTCTTGCCTCAGCCTCCCAAGTAGCTGGGATTACAGATACGCGCTGCCACGCCCAGCTAATTTTTGTATTAGTAGAGATGGGGTTTCACCATGTTGGCCAGGATGGTCTTGATCTCCTGACCTCATAATCCGCCCACCTCAGCCTCCCAAAGTGCTGGGATTATAGGTGTGAACCACCACGCCCAGCCTTATACACTTAATCTTCACTGACAATAGTTATGAAGGAGTCCTCTTACAGATGAGGACAGTAAAGTAAAAAAAGACGAAGCAAAAAAAGTGAGGTCATTTGAGATCACTCAGATGGTCAGTTAAGGAGCCTGGCCTTGAACCCAGTAGCTGTCATCAGAGCCCCTGTCCTTACCCATTATACCCTCCTGCCTTGCTGAAGGCAGTATGAGGGAATAGGAGCTCATACTGCCTTCAGAATTTATTTTATACAATAAATTATCTGAGGATCACACTATTTCCCCCGTCATTCCTTCCCATCCGGCTTTCTGGGCTCCGGGCAAGGGCCCCAGCTGAAGCCCTCTCTCCCCCATTACCCCTCCACCTCCGCCAGCTCCTAGGCTCCATGCCACCCATCTCTTCCCATACCAGCAGGAGACGGTTGCCTGGTCACTGCTAATCTATTCCGCAGCCAGCTGCAAATTCCTTTACCAATTCCGATAGTCAACAAAACCAGTTACTCACTCTAGTGAGTGCTTACTACTCACTAACAGTAATGCATCCTGCGTCCTCGAAACTCTGAGAGGCAGAGATACTTATCCCCATTATTCAAGTGAGGCCAACGAAGGCCCAACCTGCTAAGTGATCTGCACAGAGTCATACAACTAGTATGTGGCAGAGTTGGGATTTGAACTCAGGAAGGTCTGAAGCCAAAGCTGGATGTGTAAGTCTTAAGCTTGAAGGTTGAGGGTGAGGCCTGTTTACTGCCATTCTCCAAGCACCTGTGCGTGCTGCAGGTGTTGCAAGGAAAACTGGTAGGCGGGTGTTTGTCTATACCTAGGCAAATCACACCCACCAGACAAGACAGTCAGAGAATCCCCAGCTAGGTCCCAACTCACCAGGTGAAGGGAGGCTGGGAGGAGGCAAAGGAGTGAGGCTTGGAAGAACCTGCACCCAAGCGTCAGATGTAGTGGAGCAGGAAGGTCATAGCCTTCAGAGTCCAACAGGCCTGAATAAGGATCTTGGCTCCAGGGGGACCTTGGGCAAGGCCTGAACCTGTGTGAGCCACAGTTCCCTCATGGAGTTGTTGGTACAGATGGGTACGTCATCTGTGGCACCTGGCAGGGGCTTGGTAAGCAGCATCTGCCCCCAAGAATATCCATGTCTCCCCATCTCTGCCCAGAGAGAATGCTTCAGCCAGGCCTTCACCCCCACCACTCTGCAACATTGCTCTTCTCAAGGACACCCGTGACCTCCATGCTGCTAAATCCAGCAGGCGGTTTTCCAGCCCTCATCTTCCTTGGCCGCTATGCAGCTGTATCTGCCGCAGTTGATTTCTGACGGCTCCTTGAAACTCTGCCTTCCCCTGGCTTTGAAGACAACATGTTCTCCTAGTTTTCCTTCTACTTTGCTGTCCCTCCTCAGTTTTCTCTGCTGATCCTGTCTGAACTTCCCAACCTCTCAGCGCTGGAGTGCCCTAGGGCTGAGTCAAGGACCTCATTTCTTTTCTGTCCACACACACTCCCTTGGTGACCTCACCCAGACTCACAGATTTAAATGCCATCACTGCTGACGACAACCAAATTTGTGTCTCCAGCCCAGACCTCTCCCTTGAGGTCTGGTTTCACTCATGCAACTCCCTGCTTGACACCCCTGGCATCTCACAAATGCCCCCAATTTAACACATCCCAAACTGAGCTCCTGATCTTCTCCAAAAGCCAACTCCTTCCCGCCTTCCCCATCTCAGCTAATGGCCACTCCATCACACCCCACGTCTAATCTCTCAGCAAATCCTTTTGGCTTTATCTTCAAAACAGATCTCAAATCTAATCACTTCTCACTATCTCCACTACTATCACTTGGGTCAGAGCTACTGTCAGCCCTGATAACAGATTCCCTGCTCCCGGTCTTGTTCCCCTTGGGTCTTCTCTCTACACAGTAGCCAGAGTGATTGTTTAAAAATAAGTCAGATCACGTCACGCCTCTGACAAAATCCTGCAAAAATTCCCCATCTGAGGGGAAGAAAAAGCCGAAGTCATCAGGATAGTCTATCAGACTCCCCAGGATCCTGACCTCTTGGACCTCATCTCTTTTTCTCCCCCTGCTCAGTTTTTTAGCCACTGTCCCTTAAGGGTGTTGGGGGGGTTTCTGCCTCAGGGCTTTGCATTGCGGAAATAGTGTTTCCTCTGTGGCTGTTCCTCTGTCATGAAATCTCCGCGCCCAGATTCTGCATTCCTCATTCCTTCCCCTCCTTCAGGTCTTTACTCTGATGTCACTTTTTACTGGAGCCTTCCTTTACCCCCTATTTAAAACTACAAACTGGGCCAGGCATGGTGGCACACACCTGTAATCCCAGCACTTTGGGAGGCCGAGGTTGGTGGATCACCTGAGGTCAGGCGTTCGAGACCAGCCTAGCCAACATAGCAAAACCCGATCTCTACTAAAAAATAAAAAAATTTCCTGGGTGTGGTGGCATGTGCCTGTAATCCCAGCTATGTGGGAGGCTGAGGCTGGAGAATCACTTGAACCCGGGAGGTGGAGGTTGCAGTGAGCCGAGATTGTGCCACTGCACTCCCTCCAGCCTGGAAGACAGAGTGAGACTCTGTCTCAAAAAACAAACAAACAAAAAACTACATAATGCAGGCAGAGATCATCATCACCATCATTGCTCTCACCTGGATGAATACAAATTCCCCCCACTGCTCTCCTGCACCCCTTCCCACTCTCTGCTCCACTGAGAGGCCAGAGCAAATGCGAATGTAATCATGGTATTCTGTCACTTGAAACTTGTCAGTGGCTTTCCCATCTTGAACTCACCCTACTAGTCCAGTATAGTCTGAAGTCCCTGACTCTCTCCCCCAACTTCTTGCCTCTAGTCTCCTACCCTGCTCCCTACTTGCTCTCTGAACTCCAACCACA